AAAAAAAAATGTTTTCAAAATAATTTATGAAACTATTCACAGGGTTAGCAAAGAGTCATTCCTAATAGTTAATGGAAAACCACTGATATCAAATAAATAGTCTATAAGCAATATTTTTTAAAATAATCAGTTATTCATTTCTTGGCATACTCTTTTACTGAAAGGCTACAACTATGTCTTAATTCAATTAATTTAAATCTCTTTTCCAATGGGTGCATCATCCATGTATTCTGCTTCTCTGCCTAACATTTGGACTATCCCTGTACATATTCTAATATAATGGCAGCAAGAATAAAATAAAATTGGTCAATTTTGCTGTCAAAAGCTCTAATAGGCTAGTGGCAAGACTGCTAATTAAAATTATATTTAGATATAGGACTCACTGACTAAATTACATGTCTCCTAAAGACATCAATTTTAGCATTAATTCAAAACACATAGAGACATATTATAGCTTAGCGCAGTTATCTTTGCATTTGTGCATAGCCAACATGAATACTGCAATTTGTCCAATCTTTTAAAAAACCATCTCTTGACACTGCATCCCTCTGCTGCATTTCCCTCCTTCACTTTACAGCAAAACTCCTTATCTCCAATTATTCTTCCATTCTCTTGAACCCCAAACAACCCACTGAAATTGCCTATCAAGGTTACCAATGTTATTGTTAAAGCCAGTGGTCAGTTTTCATTCCTCATCTTACTTAACATATCACAACATAATTCCCCATCCCTGAAAAACTTTTTTCACTGAACCCCAAACAACCCACTGAAATTGCCTATCAAGGTTACCAATGTTATTGTTAAAGCCAGAGGTCAGTTTTCATTCCTCATCTTACTTAACATATCACAACATAATTCCCCATCCCTGAAAAACTTTTTTCACTTTGCCACTAAGAAAAATACACTCCTGGTTTTCCTGCCACCTCATTGGCCTCTCCTGCTCAGTTTCCTTTTCTGGTTCCTCTTTATTGCCCAACTTCAGTCCTTGTTCTTTCTCTCTTTTCACACTCACTGTCTTGATAATCTGCACCCAGGTTCATAGCTTTAAATACTATCAACATGATGACAACATCCAGGTTTATATCTGCAGCCTGTGCCTCTCCCCTAAATTCTGGACTCATACATCCAACTATTTGACATCTCATTTGGATGTCTAGAAGGCATCTGAAATTCAACATGTATAAAACCAAACTGTTCCTCCCAATCTTCCCCATCTCAATAAATGGCAATTCCAGCCTTCCAACTGCTCAGGCTAAAAACCTGAATTATCTTTAATGTCTCTGTGTTGTGGCATATACCCAATTGATTAATAAATCCTTTTGGCTCTACAATCAAAATATATGTACAACCGTTTCTTACTCACTGCCCACTTCTCCTACCCTGGTCTTAATTTTCTTACCTGGTTTATTAGGCTAGCTTCATAAGTGGTCTCCCTGCTTCTACTCTTCATGTCCTACAAATCTACTTAACAGAGCAGATGCTCCTTTCAAAACATAATTTAGATCATGTCATTCCCCCCAACTCCCCACTCAAAACTCTACAATAAGGAAAAGCTTTTTTAGGGTAGAATATCAACTAATAAATGTAGAAGGAATGATAGAGCTAGACAATCACCCTTTTTGTAGAAAGAATGATAGAGTTAGACAATCACCCTTTTGCAAACATAATAGTAACATTTTGATTTGAGCAAGAATCATAAATGGATGCTAAAACTATTGAGTGAAAGATTGGTAAGGAATAGGATATTTACATAGTCTCAAAGTATCTCCCCCCCATGTCACTTATTAATTACAAAGGGGAAAATGATAACTTTACAGTGCAGAAACCTAGGACACAACCTTGACTAAGAGATCAAGTGAACATCACCAATGAGATAAACTTGTATCACATCTTTTCTGACAAGATAGATTGAGAAGGATACACCACTTATGTAATATTTCTCCCACTCCCCCTAAAAAATGATAGCCTAGATTTAATCATGAAGAAGCATCTGACAAGCCCAAATTGACAGGCATTCTACTAAACAACTAGCCTATTCTCTTCGCAAAGAAAAGATAAGGAACTGTTACAGAGTAAAGAACAAAAGACACGACAATTAAATGTAATGCATGGTCCTGGACTGGATCACTAATTGTAAGGAAAATTAGTACAAATGACATTATTAAGACAATTGACAAAATCAGAATACATACAGTACACGGGTACTTCAAAAAGTTCACGGAAAAATGGAATTAAAAGATAAGGTGACTTTTCTATTCTTGCAATTTTTCTGCAAGTTTGAAATATTTTCAAAATAATTAAAAATTAAGAAAATAAAAGTAAGACTCTCCAATAGCTTCCTATCTCACTCACAGCAAATGACCAAGTCCTTACAACTAATTGTAAGACTGCTCTACTCCAGGCACACAGGACTCCTTGTTATTCCTTGCTAGGTATGTTCCCTCTCAGGAAATTGCTATTCCTGTTTTCTTGGTATACTCTTCCACGAAATGTCCACATGGCTCATTCCCTCACATCCTTTAGGTATTTCTATTAACCAGAAAACAGAGGACAGTGTAGGTACCAAGCTCAGAAGCCAGTGGAGCATACTGGAAAGTACCACTGAGAGAATGAAGGCAAGAAGTGAATAGCAAAAAGGAAATGAGTTTAATTCAGCTTTTAAATCTAAGAAATCTAAGAGAGTATGTGACAATCAATCCCACCCTTTACCTTTTGTTCTTCTTATTACTATGAAAATAAATAAAAATCAAATTTTCATTGGCAGTTTACCTATTTCGCGCAGGAGATTTCCCAGCATCCTCTTGAACAGATACAAGTCTTGTTGAAAGAGCAGTGTTTGAGGAATCTGGATGAATCAAACTATAAAGAAAACAGGAAAATACTGAGATCATTTGGGATGTAAGAGACCATTTTAATGAGGTGCTTTAACACTAAAATAAGATTAAATCTTTTTCTCTGCTATAATGAGATTATGGGTCATTTTTTTTCTTCCTTTAATTAAAGTGAAAAAAGTACAAGTATATCAAATGCCAAAAGAATGATAAAGTTTTTAAGTTTATGGAATGCCAATAAAATAATAAAATTACTTGGATGGGTGACTTACAGAACTCCTTTTCACACCATATGTACAAGATAAGTCATGGGAGAAGGGATCTGAGTTCAAATATTTTATTCTCAGTGCCCATAACCCTCTGGAATAGCACCATAAAGTCAAATAAACCTAGGTCCAAGTGCAGGCTCTACCTCTTACTAGCTGTGTGACATTAAGTTCATTACTTAATCTCTCTGAATCTCAGCATCCACATCTGCCAGAAGGAGAAAATGGTGCCTACTGCAGAGATATGATGACTAAAAGAAGGTGAACATTAAACAATTAGCACAGAACCTAAAATTTAACTATTATTCTACCTTTGACATCAAGAAGTTTTCATACCTGGTTTGTTCTATTAAATCACACTTGCCAATTCTGGGCTCACACAACAAGGGCAGACAAAACTAAAAGGCATTACTAACTAAAGCAAGAAAGAACTGAAGAATCTCTATACTTTGTATTGTTTTATTAAATATAGGATATTTTTTTTAATTTATGAATATACAGAAGGTATAAACAATCATGATGCCACAAACACCAAAGTACCCATATCAAG